TTTTTTTATATAAACACCAGTGAAATACCAGGATTTTTCATTTTACTAAAAAATCATATCTTCATTGTGCACAGTGAAGATACTATTTTTATCTTTCACACAGTGAAGATATTCCTTTTTGATAACATTTTTCTTTTGTCCCTTTAACTACACTTAAATTTGTTGATGTATGATTGAAACTTCCTTAGATCTTCTTCGGTCGTCTTCGGCAATCTTCGGCAACCTTCAGTAATCTTCAGAAAATGTTCGGAAATGTTCTGAAAATGTTTGGAAGCATTCGTCTGGCCTTCGGAACAATTAATTAGTACTATCCTCTATATAATTATTGTTTTGCCAGTCCCACTAAAAAACACTAGTATTAAAAAAATCAGAGTTTCATCCAAAAAAAGAAAGGAATAGATGGCTGCCTCTGCAGTTTAATAATAATTATAATAATAATCACAATCACAATCACAATCACAATCATAATCATGAAAATAAATTTTTTATTAATAATAAAATAATCTAATAAAGCTTTATTAAAATATTAATCCTAACAATTAGATAAATCAATGCAGAATATTCACAGAACAAAACAATGTGGTACAAAATATTTAACTCCTGAGAACTGAGAGTCACTCTGCTAAAATTCTGCTGTTCATCCAGTCAAATAGTTTAACATAATGATACAACAATTGAAGAAAAGGAATTTGATACACTCTGTTCATTAACAATTCCACAAGTTTACACAGCAGAAATTAATATTTGAGTAAATACGACCGAAAAGCTAAAAAAGAAAAAAAATTGACTTGCTCCATTTAAACTCACTTCCATCAATGGTAAAGAAAAAAAAGCTAAAAGCTAAAATCTTAAATAAATAACACCAGTATTAAAACAAGTAGAGTTTCGTCCAAAAAAAGAAAGGAACTAAAAGATGGCTCCCTCTGCAGTTTCATGATAATAATTAATAATGATAATAATAAAAATAATACTGGTTTGATATCAGCATATCCACTAAGGTGGCTCTTCATCTGATATAAACTACCCAAAAAAATTAAAATTACAATTTATGAATCAATGAAAAGAAAGATACTAATTTACAAATATATAGAATTGTGTATAAATGTATAATAGTATGTACATGAGAAAATTGAAAAATAAAATGATATTTATTAAGATGACTTCTCAGATAAAGCTTGGTCTTCTTGCAAAAATAATTAAAATCGGAACTGTTTCTGATATAAGAGGGAAGGCAGTTGAAAAGCTTAGCGATGCTGTCCTGAAAGGTGCCTTTCTCCTGTGGTGTAACTAATTGTTTGGTGGTATTTGAACACAACAGGTGTGTCTGATGGACTTCATTAACCTTAAGATTAGATGGCCATGATTTGAATTGCAAGGCCTTAAATACAAGTTTAAGTACATGAAACTCCCTTCTTTCCTTCATTGGAAACCAGCCTATTTTTAGGATGTCATTTGTGTCTCTAAAATATCGTCTGGTGACATGGAAGCAAACTGTAAATGCAGAAGCTTGCCTCTTCAAAAGAAAGTTGGGTAGTGGATAGAAAACTGTGTCATAAATTTAGAAATCAAAACATTATTATAATGAATAGTCCATATAACCTCAAAAATAATATTTCATAAATTTAGATAGTACTAACCAACCTACATATTAAACTTTTCATAGACTTATCTAGATAAACTCACTGAAGAAGCAATGAAGGATATTAACATCTGCTGCACAATTGACAGTAAAACTGGAGAACCATGTAAATGGGTTGGACAAATCAGGCATTTGGAGGTACAATGTAACTACTGCACATTTATTAAGAAATGTTGACTAGTTATAAAGGATGTTATTACAAGTACTGTAGCTATTATTGTTTTTTTAATTATTTTGTTTTAATAATCCTCATGTTGTGTTTCTTTTCTGGAGGCATCCCACATTTATTTGCACAACATGATAACCTTCAAAGTTGCGAGCTGTTCAGTGTGTTGAACTTCCATCCCTTTGAAAAGTTTTTCTCTTTTTTAAAATAATTTTGGAGAAACATCCATTTCAAACATGATAGCCCTGGATGTGACACAAATGTTTGTGTCCAGAAGGACGCACTCGGAAGTCATTTATGCATCTTTCCAGACATTTTACTCATCAGAGAGATGGGAAGTGCAGGTAGTCAGATCACTACAAAATTTGTTGTAGAAACAAAAAAGTAACCCCAAGGTTTTCAAAATGTACATGGACTTGTAAGCAAAAANTAAAGGATGTTGTTACAAGTACTGTAGCTAATTGTTTTTTTAATTATTTTGTTTTAATAATCCTCATGTTTTGTTTCTTTTCTGGAGGCATCCCACATTTATTTGCACAACATGATAACCTTTAAAGTGGCGAGCTGTTCAGTGTGTTGAACTTCCATCCCTTTGAAAAGTTTTTCTCTTTTTTAATATAATTTTGGAGAAACATCCATTTCAAACATGATAGCCCTGGATGTGACACATATGTTTGTGTCCAGAAGGACGCATTCGGAAGTCATTTATGCATCTTTCCAGACATTTTACTCATGGGAGACATGGGAGGTGCAGGTAGTCAGATCACTACAAAATTTGTTGTAGAAACAGAAAAAAGTAACCCCAAGGTTTTCAAAATGTACATGGACTTGTAAGCAAAAAAAATACCACAATGTAAGTTTTTAATTGTTAACTCTCATGATCTAGGTGCATATGGATTTACATCGTAAGGGAGCTCAAGAGGCAACTGCTCAGGTAGATTGAAATGTTTTATTCTATTGGACTGGATTAACTAGTCTATAATATTGTTTTTTTGTTTTTATAATAATGACTGAGTATATTCTGAGTATATTACAAGGCATGTTTATGTTGAGTAATTTTGTATGAAAGCCTGATGAAGTAAGGATTTACACTACTCGTGATATTTGAAAATTCTTTCAGATTGTACTCGCTTGCATAAAGGCTTGTGCAATTTTGGGAGAATTAAATTCAAATATCACTCTTAAAAAGTGTACGTCTAGTAAATCCTTTTTAAAATTGCACTTAAGATTGCATTTATACTAATTTGAGCAAAATCATTCATAAATTTCTACATCAATATAGCTCTAAGAATTTTGTCATTTATCGTAGATAGACTCTAACTCACACAGTAATATTGTACATGTACCTGTAACAAAATTAACTTATTTTAATATCCACCTTTGCAACAGAGCCCCTAAACAATGAAAAAGTGACAAAGTTCGTAGTGCATGCAGCAAGACATCACATGATATATTAGCAATAAGTTATTAATTTTGCAATTTTAAAGTCAGGGGCACATAGTAACATATTCGTGCATTTTGTTTTGATTTTACAGGATTTGTAGAAACCATGTCAGACTGTGATTTTGTGATGCAAACGCTCCTTATATATACAAACCATACAAGCCTTCAATTTTCAATCACTCTTTCTACTTTCATTTGAAACTGAAGATTTAAGACCTTAAACTGTTATAACGACAATAACAAAAAAGAACTGCACTCACACACTACAACTCGACACAATGAACTTCTTAAACTTTTACTTATTTTTATGAGCAGAAATGTACTTTAAATTTGACCGCGCAGCTTTAAGCTTCCATAAGTTTAAGATTGTTCACTTTGACTTGATGATGGTGTTAAGAAAATGCTGAAATGTCGTTGCTAATTTAAACCAAAATGGTTTCAAACTTTTGATCTTAATATTATTATTACAATGTTAAAATAAATAAATTATAATATTTAGAGAGGAAGCCACATCGGCCTTAGCTGGCTTTCTTGCAGGTGCTCTTTCCTGGTTGAATTAGAATTTGGAGTGTTGGTTTTTGTAGAGGGAGGAGCTGCAGAGAACCCAGAGAAAACCCCTCAGAGCAAGGCCAGAACCAACAAACTCAACCCCCATATGGCACTGAGCCTGAATCGAACCTGAGCCACTTTGGTGGGGGGCAAGCGCTCTCACCACTGTGCCATCTCTGCTCCCCGTAGTGAAAAGTGAAAAGTTTAGAAAAGCACACCAAAAAAGAGACAAACAGCATGGCCGTCACTCACGTCACTCACCTACATGTAGTAAAAAGCTGAGAGACTAAACAGTTTTATCGTGTTAACGCGTGNATCAATATTGACAACCAGAGTATTATATTTTCACCATTCACAACCTCGTACTCAAACTTAAAGTTTGAGTCTAAAGACGGATAAATTACATAGCTCATTGGTATTAAGACTGTTTTTTAAATCGCGGAGCAAAGCTTCGAATTTTATTTTAATTATAAAATATGGCCAGGAGTGAGTGTACTTGCTTTGTGGGACTCGTACCATCTGGATGGTATGCATGATTTAATCATGACGTTTTTAAGGCGTTAGTTCTTGTTACTTTAGGCGATTTTGCCATGTGCAAACTGATTAAAAAATTAAAGAGCTGAACGAAACACTACGCACAGCGAAAAGCGGGCAAGCTAGATTGGCTTGGAGGTATTTCATAAGGTTTAGAGTTCACAGTTCAAACAGGAGGAAGGCAAGATCGCCTAAATTAGCGCGACTCACGATTTTAAGGCTGGAGGTTGACTCCATGATATTTATGAACTACGACGCCCAAGGTGTCATAAAAAAAAATCATTTCTTATGTAAGGGGTTTTTGTAAATGTTGCCTTCTGTTTTTTACTGGCCTCTGTTTGTATAGATTTTGAAGAGACATGAGCGAAGTTTTGTAGCATTTTGTAACAGCCCACACAACTGGTAATGAAATTGAATAGATGTAGATGTATTGCCGCAAATGCAATTTACATATGGTATTAGAACCCCATCAACAATTTTTCTGTTCCATCATTGGTTGTTCTGGTCCCCGGGCGTGGCGGGGGGGGGGGGGATATTTGACCCATGTTTGGGTAAAGGGGTGCCGCCAAGGGTTCGAAATCCTGACCCTGTTGAGGACAAAAATACTCTAAAACGCTACCCCTGTGTAGGACAAAGAAACACAAAGAAACTAGAACTACCGGTACGATCTATTCTGTCAATGCGCGCTTGTTATAATACTAATAAGTGGAAAAATAATTTAAATTAAAGGACACAGAAAACAATAGCATTCTTGTACAGAAAATGATCTGATGTTGATTGATGACCTTGTAAAGGCCGGTTAACGTCTGTGATCGTAATACCATACCCTGTTTAGGACAGGTTCTGACCCCGTTTAGGACAGAGGCGAGTAAAATTGTATACACTGTTCAGGACAGCGAGGCCAAAAAAAACCCTGTCCAGCGGCATGTCCCCGTATAG